TCTATGGGAAGAAGGTTTTGTTAAAGCTATACTAATTAAATTTTCAGTTGAAGGGACTGAGAATTATTTTATGCTCTATGTTTTACAATGAAATCCAATTTCATAAATTCTTAATATTTCCCTAGCTAGACTAAATATATGCTTGTGAATTTAACTTGACGTGGATGTGTCTTCAACAATAATAAATATTGTTTGAATAAAATTGTTTAATGTGGGACTTCCCTGGTGCATATTTATTTAGAATGAAGGATTTTCATGGTAAAACCATGGTTTTATTTTAAAACTAAAAGCAAAAAAAGCTACTGAGTGAACAATTAGTAATAGAATTGCCAAGTATGTCATACAATTGTGCTTCTCTGTCACATTTCATAAATTGGAAGTATTTCTCAAATTTTCCCCCGGTGCATATTGGCATTATTCATGTGCAGAAAATTATAAAGTTGATTGTATATGTTACTTTGGGGAAGAAAATTTATTTTCTTCTTTGTTTATGGTCTATTTGCCATTCCATATTCTAGAATGTAAAAAAAGAAGTTGTCTTGGTATTTGTCAGAACAGTTTCTTGTTCGTAGAAATAAAAATAAATTACAAACTTATAGGAAGAAAATAAGGTTTGGCTTTAAAATGCTTTTTGTTAAAGGGATAATGATATAGATTTGAGAGGCTGATTGATGTCATTACATACTAGTTTAAAATACAAGATCAACTTGACTTAGCTTTCAGGAACAGTTTGCAGTTTGGGCTCAAATGGAGTGTTGTTAAGATCAGGTTTCTTTCCGTACTCAAAATCTGGGTCACTGAAAAATTTCCATCATCTAAACTTTTTAGTCTAAAAATAATTTAACAAAGTTAAGAATGATGGACTTCTGAGTAGTTCAAACGGCTAAATACCAATTATTTCTCAGAAAGTTAATTTAATTAATTAAAAGCTTAGACTAACTTCTGTTAAACACTTGATTACTTAGTTCTCACACACGTGGTATCTCAGTTAACCGTTCTTATTAAGACTTTATATTTTTAGAGCAGTTTTAGGTTCACAACAAAATTAAGGGGAATGTACAGAGGTTACTCATATACCCCTTACCCTGAAACATGCATACCCTCCCCCATTATCCGCATCCCCACCAGAGTAGTACACTTGTTACAACTCATAAATCTACTTTGACACATCATACTCACCCAAAGTCCACAGTTTGCATTAAGGTTCACTCTTGGTGTTGTACGTTCTATGGGTCTGGATGAATGTATCACGACATGTATGCGTTAATGTGGTTCCATACAGAGTAGCTTCACTGCCCTGAAAATTCTCTGTGCTCTGCCTATTCATCGTCCTCCGCTTCTCTAATCCCTGGCAACCACTGATCTTTTTACTGTCTCCATAATTTTGCCTTTTCCAGAATGTCATGTTGTTGGAATCATACAGCGTGTAACCTTTTCAGATTGGCTTCTTTCAGTTAGTAACATGCATTTAAGTTTACTCCATGTCTTTTCATGGCTTGAGAGCTCATTTCTTTTTAGCACTGAATACTATTCTATTCTGTGGATGTACTATAGTTTATTTATCCATTCACCTATGAAGTACATCTTGGTTGCTTCCAAGTATTGCTAATTATGAATAAAGCTGCTATAAAGATCAGTGTGCAGGCTTTCATGTGGATATTAGTTTTCAAATCCTTTGAGTAAATCCTAAGGAGTGTGATTGCTGGATCTACATATGGTAAGAGTATGTTTAATTTTGTAAGAAACTGCTAGCCTCTCTTCCAAAGTGGCTCTATGATTTTACGTTGCCACCAGCAACGTATGAGAATTCCTGTTACTTTACATCTGTGTCAGCATTTACTGTTGTTAGTGTTCCAGAGTTTGGCCATTCTAACAGGTATGTAGTAATATATCACTGTTGTTTTAATTTGCATTTCCCTGATGACATATGATACGGAACATCCTTTCATATGCTTATTTGCCATCTGTATATGTTCTTTGGTGAGGTATCTATTAAGGTCCTTGGCCCATTTTTAATTGGATTATTTGTTTTCTTATAGTTGAACTTTAAGAATTCTTTGTATATGTTGGATGAATTATTTATCAGATGTATCTTTTGAAAATACTTCCCTGTCTATGGCTTGTCTACTAATTCTCTTGAAATTGTTTTTCATGAGAAGGTTTTAAATTTTAATGAAATCCAGATTATGAATTCTTTCTTTCATGGATTGTGCCTTTGGTGTTGCATCTAAAAACAAACCTAAATGACCAAACTCAAGGTCATTTAGGTTTGTTTCTATGTTATCTTCTAAGAGTTTTATAGTTTTGTGTTTTACATTTAGGTCTGTGATCCATTTTGAGTTAATTTTTGTGAATGGTATAAGGTCTGTGTCTAGATTCATTTTTTTGCTATGTGGATGTCCAGTTATTCCAGCACCATTTGTTGAAGATTTTATCTTTTCTCCATTGTATTGCTTTTGGTCCTTTGTCAAAGATCAGTTGACTGTGTTTGTATGGGTCTGTTTCTGGGCTCTTTATTCTGTTTCATTGATCTGGTTCTATATTCTTATGCCAATTCTTATGCCAGCCACACTGTCTGGGTTACTGCAGTTTTATAATAAATCTTGAAGTTGGGTAGAGTCAGGCTTCCAACTTGGTTCTTGTCCTTCACATCGTGTTAGCTCATCTCAGTCTTTGGCCTCACCGTATAAATTTGGAGTCAGTTTTTCAATATCCACAAAATAACTTGCTGAGAGTTTTATTGGAATTGCATGGACTCTATAGATTATCTTGGGAAGAACTGAGATCTTGACAATACTGAATCTTCCTCTCTATGAACATGGAATATCTCTCCAATAATTTAGTTCTTGACTTTGCTGATAGGAATTTTGTAGTTTTCCTCATATAGATCTCATACACACTTTGTTAGATTTATATTTATTTCATTTTTGAGGGTGCTAATGTAAAATGATACTGTGGTTTTAATATCAAATTCTTCTCATTCATTGCTGGTGTATAGGAAATCTACTGACTTTTGTGTATTAATCTTGTATCCTGCAATCTTGTTATCATCGCTTCTTAGTTCCAGGAGGTTTTTGTTGATTCTTTCAGATTTTCTACATAGATGATCATGTCATCTGTGAACAAAGACAGTTTTATTTTTCTTCCCAATCATTGTAATTTTACTTCCTTTTCTTGTCTTATTGCATTAAGTAGAGCTTCCAATATGATGTTGAAAAGCAATGGTGAGAGGAAGACTTGCTTGCCTTGTACCTGAGCCTTAGTAGGAGTGCTACAAGTTTCACCATTAAGTATGACGTTAGCTGTATGTTTCTGGCAGATATTCTTTACCAAGTTGAGGAAGTTTCCTTCTATTCTTAGTTTACTGAGAGTTTTCATCATGAATGGGTGTTGAATTTTGTCAAATGCTTTTTCTGCATTTACTGATATGTCATTTAACCTTCATAATCATTTTCTTGAGACTGATATTTTGCTATATCCACTTCACAGATGGGAGAATTAAGCCTCAACAGTGAAGTAATTTGCCAGTAGTTCCCACAGTCTCTGGTGGAACCAGGATTAAACCTACAATTGTTTGACCTGCTCTACAATATGCTGCCTCCCTGTGCTTACTGTCAATTCTGACTCTTTGGCTCTGAGGTAGTAGAAAAATAGATTCTCTCATCATGAAGCTCACCGAACTAAACAGCCTATCAATATTAAGCTATATACTTATTTGAAATACAGATGCTTCTCATTATTCATGGATTCTGTATTTGTGAATTTGCCTACTTGCTAAAATTTATTTGTAACCCCCAAGTCAATACTCAAGGCACCTTCATGGTCATTCACACACATGTACAGAGTGGCAAAAAGTTGCAGTCTTCCAGTGTGCCGGTTCAGTGCTGAGGTCAAACTCAGTGACACCCTACCTTCTTATTCCAGCTCTCGTACTGTAAACAAGTGTCCTATTTGTGCTCCACTTGGTGCCAAGCTTTTGCATTTTGTGCTTTTTTCGGTGATTTCACTGTTTAAAATGGCTCCCCAAGTGTAGTGTAAAGTTCTGTCTAAGTGCAAGAAGGTTGTGCTGTGCCTTATGGAGAAAATACGTGTGTTAGATAAGCTTCACTCTGTCTTGACTTATAGTAATGTTGGCCATGAATTCACTGTTAATGAATTAACAATATATATTAAAATGTCTTTCAGTGGAAACAGACATAAAACAAATTATGAATTGACGATGAAAATATTGTGACCAGAGGCTCACAGAAACCTAATGTTGTATTTCTCATAAAAGCCATGGTTCAGTATCTGCTAATTTAGTGTTTGCAAAGGCTTTATAGAACATAACTACCACGAATAAAGAAAATCAGCTTATAAGGTTTCACTGTCTTTGTAATGGTGTGTTCATAGAGGTGACTTCTTGCCCTTGGATTAAAGTGTCACTGGGATATCATTTTACTGGCTATGCTAAGCTCTCTTCAGGGATTCACCCATTTTCTCTAAACCACTGTATTTGTTTCCTATTGATGCTCTGACAAATTACCACAAACTTAGTAGCACAAACCTCACAAATGTATCATTTTACAGTTCTACAGCTCAGAATTCCAAAATGGGTTTTACAGGGCTAAAATCAATGTGTTGTCAAGATTGTCTTCCTTCTGGAGCCTCTAGGGGATAATCTCTTTCCTTACCTTGTCCAGCTTCTGGAGGTCATCTGCAGTCCTTGGTTCATAGCCCTGCATCACTCTGACCTCTGCATCCATCATCATATCAAACCTCTGACTCTCCTATCTCCCTCTGCCAGTTATAAGGACATCTGTGATTGAGGATGTCAGCTTGTAGGTCTGTCAGTTATTTGCTCTGCAGCCCCAATTCATTTAAGTATAGCACCATTATAAAGTAGATGTTTTTGTTTGCATCTTGGAAGAATCGCTGATTAGATCCACCTTTGGGGGTAGCACAGTGCTCTGGTATTTAGGACGTTTTCACTGATGTCTTGTTTTTTTTCCCGTTTCTAGTCCTCAGAGCCAAGTCAAACCATTTGTATGTCCAGAGAAGAGTTTGTGCAGACGATGACAGAGATTGTTGGTTGGGGCACAAAGGAAGAATATGGAGAGCTCTTTTTTTTTTTTTTTTTTGCGGTACGCGGGCCTCTCACTGTTGCGGCCTCTCCCATTGCGGAGCACAGGCTCCAGACGCGCAGGCTCAGCGGCCATGGCTCACGGGCCCAGCCGCTCCGCGGCATGTGGGATCCTCCCGGACCGGGGCATGAACCCGCGTCCCCTGCATCGGCAGGCAGACTCTCAACCACTGCGCCACCAGGGAAGCCCATGGAGAGCTGTTTGATAAAGTGGATGTGGCCCAAGATGGCTGTATTAATTGGGACAAGCTGACTTCATTTGTGCTGTTAACACTTTATGAGAAAGATGAACAAGCAAAGGCAATGGTGGTTCCCCAGTGGAAAGACCTTGAATGCCTCCCAGTGAAACGCAAGGACACCATTCAAAAAGTAATTTTCTTAAAAAGTTCAAGTCGTTATCTGATCATCAGGAAGGAAGGTGTAGTTGGAATCTGGGGAGAGAATTTAAAGCTGCAAGAAATGCTTCCCATCACTTCAGATGCCAACAAGCTTAAACACCTGTGGCTGACAAGTATGGCTTCTCTGGAAAATGTAAACAAGGTACAGAGTCTTTAGAAATAAATGTGTTGCTTGTAAAAGGGGGGAAATGATAGGACAGGGCTCCTGATCAATAGCAAGTATAACACGAGCAGTGACAGAGAGCTGCATCACTCTTTTGTACCTCTCATCTCACCTGGAGGGAACGCAAGTAAAGCCAAGTGAGTTACTCCAATTCACAGACTGTTCTGTTTTGTGCCTTTAAATAGCAAGGTCGGTAGTGACTCAGATTCTTGGCTCTGTCCCCAGTGAGGCCATGCTGCATTACTAGCTGATAAGACCTTTATGACTGTAGTTTTTAGCAGAGTCTTGGATCTGTACGCAGAGCTGAGAGGCTATATCAGTGCATAGCACAGCTCAGTGCAATTTCAGGCAATTGCTTATCTGATGTTGACCACTGTACTAGTCAGTTTCTTAATTTTGTTGGGTAGGGCCCGTTCAGCCCAAATACCCTCATATAACTAGACCTATGAGAAAGATAACATACTGAAAGGAAAATCAATTTGTGAGGGAAGAATGCAGCTTAAAAAATCCATATTCTTAGTATTTTACATTAAGCAGATGGTAAATTTTACTATGAAAAAATTTAAGCTTACACACAAGCAGAGATAATCCCATTAAGAACCAATATCCACCCGTAGCCATTTACAATTCATAGCCAATCTTGTTTCATCGACATCTCCCCTCTATCGAAATCCAAAACATCCAATCATCTAATCTGTAAATATTTCAGTATTTTGAAAAAAGTCTTTTTAGCATAACCATAATACCATATCACATTTAATATCAATAGCAATAATTCCTTAATATCATCAAATATCCACTCATGTACATATTTCTGTGTCTTATGATTTTTTTAATAGTTTGTTAATTGTTTGTTTGATAGTTTGAATCACCTAATGACTAATAATGTTGAGTATATTTCCATGTGCTGATTTGCTATTTATCCTCTTCGGTGAAGTGTCTGTCCAAATCCTTTGCCCATTTTTTATTGAGTTTATTTTGTTATTATTGAGTTTTGAGAGTTCTTTATATATTCTGGTTATATGCAATTATATGATGGATAATTTACAAATATTGTATCCCAGTTTGTGCTTTGTCTTTTCTTTCTCTTACACTGCCTTTGATATTTCATTTTCAAGATTGTTCATTGCTAGTGAATATAAATAGTTTTTAAAAAGTAATCTTATATTCTACAACTTTGCTGAACTCACTTATTGGTTCTAATTGGTTTTGTTGTTGTTGTTGATTCCCTAAGATTTTCTGTATATAAGATCGTGTCATCTACGAATAGAGTTAGTTTAACTTCTTCCTTTCCAATCTGGATGCCTTTTATTTACTTTTCTTGCCTAATTTCCCTGGCTAGAAACTCCAGCACAGTGTTGAATAGAAGTGGTGAGAGTGAACAGCCTCGTCTTATTTCTGATCTTAGGGAGAATACAATCAATTTTTCATCGTTAAGTATGATATCAGCTGTAGGTTGTGTTTTTGTTTTGTTTTGTTTTGTACATGCTCTTTATCAAGTTTCTTTCTATTCCTAATTTGTTGAATATTCTTAACATGAAAATGCATTGGGTTTTGTTAAATGCTTTTTTGTATTTATTAAGATGATCATACCACCTTTTTCCTTTATTCCATTAATATGGTGTATTACATTAGTTGATATTTGTATGTGTTAAACTAACCTGGTATTCCTGGTGTTGGGAGGAAGAAATTTTCCTCTACCCTTCTAGGTTGGTCCAATAATTAAACTGAAATGAGACAGATTAACAAGGGAAATCAAACAAAAGTCTAATAACATGTATATATGCAAGGGACCCAGGAAAACTGAGTAACTCACCAAAGTGTCCAAAGTCTTCACCTTAAATATCATCTTTAACAAAGACAAAAGAGAGTGTTGGGATGGTGGTTTGGGATCTCAAAGGGGATGAAGGCAATTTACATGAGGATGGAAAAGCAAATATTTGGTATACAAATATTTGCTGGGCCATACAGAGATGCTGGGACTCAGAGTGGACTCTAGACCCTGAGTTTCTGCCATTGCATCTAGCCCATGGTCTTTGCAGATATCTCTGGTGATAGCTCTATTCCAGGAACAGGCCCTTTATCCAAATTCTTCAGGCAGCTAGGGGGGAGGTAAAAAGAAAAAATTCTTGAGTCTTCTGTTTCTTAAAAATAATCAACCTAAATTAATCCTCATGCCAAATAGACACATTTTGAGGTGGCAAATTTTGTTTCCCTACACTGGTATAAATATTACTCGGTCACGGTGTGTAACCTTTTTCATATGTTGCTAGATTCTCTTTGATGGTATTTAGCTGAAGATTTTTACATCTCTATTCATTAGGAATATTGGTCTGCAGTTTTCTTTTCTTGTGATGTCTTCGTGTGGTTTTGGTATTAGGAAATACTGGCCTCATAAAATGATTTGGAAAGTGTTTCCTCCATTTCTAGTTTTTGGAAGAGTCTGAGAAAGATTGGGGTTAATTCTTTAAATGTTTGATAGAACTTATTAATGAAAAGCCATCCAGGCCTGGGATTTTCTTTGTGGGAAATTTTTTTGATTACAAATCCAGTCTTTCTATTTATTATATGTCTGCTGAGATTTTCTATTTCTTCTTCAGTTAGTTTAGGTCATTTTGTGTTTCTAGGCATTTGTACCTTTCATTTCAGTTATCTAATTTGTTGGCTTACAGTTGGTCATGGTATTCTCTTATAATCCTTTTCTCAATTTCTGTAAGGTTGATGGTAATATCTACTCTTTTATTTCTGGATTTAGTAATGTGTATCTTCTCTCTTTTTTGGGGGGGTTAGTCTAGCTAAAGTTTTGTCAATTTTATTTACAAATGTATTTACCCTTTCTTAAATAGTTTTTAGGATTTTATTTGACTTAGGAAGGCTACTTACAGAATTTTTATCAATTTATTTCTGTGAAAGCCTCTGCTTGCCTCATAAAACATGGTTTGTAAAGTTTCTGTATGGTTGTGTGATACCGTAGACCTCTATATCTTTGTCTTTCCTGTGATTAGTTGCCTAGTCTCCCATGGGTGGAAGAAGTTGGGGGTCTGTGAAGTAGCGATAGGGAAGAAAGTGTGTTCAAATGGGAAAGTTTTATCTTGCCTAGAATACTTGGTTAGAATAAAGCACATTTGTGCCGCCATGCTATACTTCTGTAATACATTAAGGACCCTCAGGTGAAAATGTCTGATTTCGTGCTAAGATTTGCATGTCTGCTTTTCATATTGTTTTCACTAAATTCATCAGAAATATTTTCTGATTTTCTACTTTGCTACTTTAGATAGCAGGTGGCTTTTACAAGAAAAGAGATTTGTTTCTATGATCTGCTGTCCAAAGAAGAATTTCCTTGTCAATATAATCTCCATGGCCTGAAAGGAACACCAATTTGCATGGATTATTGGTACGACCCTTTTGACGCCAAAGAGTCAATTCTTTCTCTTGGGGACATAACTGGAAAGGTAAGTGAGGGAAGGATAAGGTTGAACACTATGGATTTAATCATCAACGCTTAGCTCAAAATAGAAATAGAGTACAATGAATGTGACCCCCTAATTGAACTACTTTATAGATTACAAGGCCACACACCTTGGACATGAAAAAGATGGATTAGGTCATAATTCCCCTCCTTGCATATGAAAACCAATCTGCCCTATGGTTTTCTTGCCTGTGTATAGTCTCATCTTCCTTATTTAGGAAAAAAGTATTTGCTAACTTTTTCACCATAAGATGCTTAATCTATTAGACCCCAATATTAATAAACATTTAATATTGTGTCTGAAGTTATCTCTAATAATTCTTTCAAATTGTTCACATTTTCATTTATAAGATTTCAGGCTTCTCAGTAGCAAGCTCCTGGGAAATGCTTATTTCCTGTCCCATGTGACAAAGGAATAGGTGCATGAGAGAGAGCAGCACTGAGCCCCAGACACTGCATACAATGATTTCTGTCTTCCCATCAAATTCCACCCGACCTCTGAAAAATGACTTCTTACTGAACGACAGTAGAATATGCCTGTGAATGCTGAAATAGTCTAATTTGAACAATTTCCACTCATAATTATGTAAGCCTTTCCTCTTTACTGTTTTTTTTTTTTTTTTCTGGTGCGCGGGCCCCTCACTGTTGTGGCCTCTCCCGTTGTGGAGCACAGGCTCCGGACGCGCAGGCTCAGCGGCCACGGCTCACGGGCCCAGCCGCTCCACGGCATGTGGGATCTTCCCGGACCAGGGCACGAACCCGTGTCCCCTGCATCGGCAGGCGGACTCTCAACCACTGTGCCACCAGGGAAGCCCTCATCTTTACTGTTTTTAATGACAAATAGATCATAAAAGCAAACAAATAAAATGCCCTTGGTAATTGCATTAGCAACCTTGTAGTGTCATGTCTTTCACTATAACTGCCTGCAACCTTTAAATAATATTAAAGAAATGCCTGTTAATTCAATACCTATTCCTTATTAATAATAAAGAGCATAGAATCTTCTTGCAACAGTTACCCTACCCATGTTTGTTTTTCTTGTAATGTCTCTCTCAAGGTTCAAGTAATTGCTTTCACAACGGCCTTGATTTCCCTTTTTGAGCATCCTGCTGGTGCAGGTGAAGATGAAGAAGCAACTGTGACCATTAACTGGGCAGAGCCGTGCTCTGGACGTCACAAATGTTGCTATACGTTAGGGCACAAACTTCATTGTGGAGACTGCGTCAGACAAGGTACTGAATTTAAACAACAATGAAAGAAACAGTCACCTTAGACTTCTACATTTACATTCTTAATGAAAATGTTTCACACACAGTGTTCAAGTCTAGAAACTAATAATTGATTCCCTGGAGGTTTTGACCTGGACTCTGCTATCCCCTGCACACTAGCAGGAATTACTTCTTTCTTTTTTTTCCTTCTAAAATTTATGCCTCATACAATTAATTCAGGCGAGCTGTGCAGTCAGGAAATCTCAAGACAGGAGAGAAAATTGTCACAGAATCTGTTTAACTTTACCCCAACTCTGATCCGAACTAATTTTGTTTAGTCACATTTGGGCCTACTTAATAAAAGAATTTAACAGGTACCCTCAAAACACTCCCTTGCTTTCTTTATATTCTCATGGCAAGTATATTAGTTTGACTGCCTTCAGAATGGACTCTTCTCAGTTTTCTTTTCTTTTTTCTCTTCTTTGGTATAATGACTGAGTTGCTCTGATCTAGAGTACTTGAGTGGCAGTTTTCTGTGTGATAGGATTATGTTATAAAACAGCATCTATGGAAGGCCAGGACTTTCTTAAAACCTAGTCAACAATGAGTTTGTTAGTTTCACAATATGCCTAATTTTTTACAGAATTTGCATCTGATGGTTCAAGATCCAGATGTGCAGTTTCTGCTCTGATACCTCCTTTGGTCCAGACACTAAGGACTATGTTATTTTTCTCACTTCTAAACTGCTACATTAAATAATGCTACATTCCAATAATGATTGGAATGGAAACTGTCAATCTCATTGTTGTATTGTAGGTATATTCCTAATATTCTTTGAAGAAGAGGTAGTCAAAATGGACCCAACTGTTGGCTTTTATGGTAGTTTTCCCCTCTTTGAGTTTTAGGAGTTTGGAACTAATTCCTTAATGCATGACCTACAATAATAATTTCCCACATGATAAGCTATAGGTTTTGCACTTTTTTCTTCAATATAAATCATACCATGTCTTTGGTACTTTCTACCTATCCTGTAATTCTGGCATCATATAAATTGTGGGAAAACCAAAAGATAAAATTTTTTGGTCATCCACTATGTGTGACAGGCACAAAATTACGTGTTATGTTTTCATACTTGGAAACAAGAAAGTACTAGAAAGTGAAGAGAGTCCTTGAAAGTGAGGGAGGTATTACAGCTGCTTCCAAACAAGCATGATATTTTAATACATAAACTAAAGACTAAAAAGACCACAGTAGTAAAGTTATAGTTCTTGAAATCTGCTTGTAGTAAGTTCCCTGAAGTTTAGTTTGAGTTCCATGACCTTTAATATGAATAAATACAGAGAAAAAGCTAATAGAATTCTGTTTTTGAAAAGGTTGGGAATGTAACAAGGTTTTAAAATTGAGATCATTTGTCTGAATATGAATAGTGTCTAAATACTCTCTTCACACTCAGGGAGAGAATGAAAAGCTCTCACTCTAGACTCTGTCACAATTTCATTTAAACCTCTCAAAAACCAACGCTACTGGTGAAGTAATCTGCTGATGAGCTCTCGTCTGTTAAGTTGCAGGACAAGAATTTTTCTCTAGGCCAATGTGAATTCATTGCTCATCATATTTCCAACATATCATTCTGATTTGTAGTTCTTTTACCTACTGACAAAAGAATATGCGAACTTAGTTTAGTATCAGCAGTAGATATTCATGTTTATGACCTAAGGAATCCACCTTTGGAGTTTAGCCACTAAACCACGGCAATTAGGAATTGGCTACAGAAAAGTTTTATATATATTAAAAAATTAGGAATCTTTGTTACCTAATTTGGATTATATATGTCTTAGCTTTTTGAATTAAAACTCATAATCAAGCGAATAGTCCTTGGAAGTATAGCTGAAAGAATATATTTACTTTAGTCCACTTATTTAAATCAGTCGACAATTATTTATATTTTATGTGCTTTAAAACTGTCTTAGGCATTGGAGGCAGTGGAAGAAAGATAAATTATAGGCTTAACTCAAAAAACTTAATAGGTAAGTAAGAATTAAAGACATATAAAAGCATGTATTTGAACATTGTACAATGGTACTGAAAATTAACTGCTAAATCATATAAACAAGATTTTGACTCCTATTGTAATTCTTTTTTTTTTTTTTATTTAGGAGTTTATTAATTTATATATTTATTTTTGCTGTGTTGGGTCTTCGTTTCTGTGCGTGGGCTTTCTCTAGTTGTGGCATGTGGGGGCCACTCTTCATCACGGTGCGCGGGCCTCTCACTATCGCAGCCTCTCTTGTTGCGGAGCACAGGCTCCAGACGCGCAGGCTCAGTAGTTGTGGCTCATGGGCCCAGTTGCTCCGCGGCATGTGGGATCCTCCCAGAGCAGGGCTTGAACCCATGTCGCCTGCACTGGCAGGTGGACTCTCAACCACTGTGCCACCAGGGAAGCCCCTATTGTAATTCTTAAGCAGGAAAAGACATGAGGAAGAACTTCAGGGGTGAGTGGTGGTATTCGAAGGATGGATGGGTAGAGGGAAAAAAAGAGAGCATGGCGAACATAAATAAAGGTAGGCAAGTAGGCACAATAATGGAGGGCGAGATGGACATGACTAGATCAGAGATGGAGTATTAAGGACATAACAGTGCCTAGGTCTAATAAGGATGTCTGTTGGAAGATCTTGGCAACCAGGCCAAGTTCACATTTAACAGAAAAAATGAAACAGTGAAGCATTGAAGGTTTCTGAGGAAATTTGGGCAGACCTGATGTAGACAGCATTTAGGAAAATTTTATTTAGTAGTTCTGTCCGGCGTAGATTGGAGGACAAAGAAAGAAACTGCAATCAGATTGGCTAGTTGGGATCATGAGAAAATGGAAATGATAAAGCAAGGAGACAAACAAGCAACCTTTTGAAACAGGAATCTTCAGGACTTGAGGTCTGAAATGTGGAATGATGAGCCGTTTTAGAATATCTCACAAAGACTTCTGTTCCCAGGTTGGGAATGTTCTACTTGCAGTTGACAGATGCCCTCATGGGCCCAATGCTCTCCCCAGCTCACTTTCTCAATGTTGACTACTTCTAGGATTCTTTATTCTGAGATACTCCTGATCTGCCACAAAAGAAGAATCTTTCTTACCAGTATTGTTCTGATACTTCCCTTCCCTTTGCCAAGCTTCATGTTTGTCTCTTCAACCATCTAATTCAGATGGACTCTTCCTTGTGTAATTTGCAAACTTCTCAATTTTGGCTTTGCTCCTGGGTTCCTACAAATTTCTGTACCCACATCAGAATTTTGGTTCTGCCTGTCATAACCCTCCCAATCCCAGATGTCCCAAATTTGGATGTCTCACATACAAATCACATTTATACATAAATTGAAAATTAAAACAATATTCTTAGGGCAGGAAATATGTCCTTTATTCTCTTAGTGTCCTTTATAACACGTAGTATAATGTTTCATACAACTTTCCCTTTCTCACTGATTTTAAGCAATCTGATTGTGATGTGCCTCAGTTTTCTTGGTGTGTGTGTGTGTGTGTGTGTGTGTGTGTGTGTGTGTGTGTGTGTGTTTATGCTGACTGGAATTCATTGTGATTCTTGGATTTTCATTAAATTTGAAAATTTTTCTATTGCTATTTTTTCTGAAGTTTTTTGTCTCCCCCTCTTTTTTTTTTTTCTTTTCTGTAAGATGCTTGATATTGCCCTACTAGTTATGGAGACTTTTTCATTTTTATTCAGCTGGTTCTTTTTTTAAATCACTATGCTTTAGTTGAGTTGGATTCTATTTCTATGTCTTCAAGTTCCTGGATCTTTTCTTCTGAGATATTGCAGAGTGGTTTCAAAGGGTGAGTGAGGCTGCCTCTGTGGTTCAGGTGGGCTAGCATGCCCCAGTCTAGTGCCTCACTTGGGGGCATCCCTGCAGAGACCTGTGGTGTGGGCTGCAGCCAGTGGAGCCCTGACAAGAGTGGGGCTACTTCAGAGAGCTGCGGCATAGGTGGGGCCGTTGCCACAGCGTGGGCAGTACCTTTGGGGGTGATGTTCCTATCCCAGTACATTTGGAAGGCAGATTATCAGACCAATGGGCTATTTTTGGGCCGTAAAGTTTAATGGAGTTTCCCCCTGTTAGGTTTTATATTTACTTGAGACCTATCACCTCTTTGTTCTTTCTTCTTTTTGGAATGGGAATGCCTGTCACATGCCTGTTCTACCATTTTATTTTGGAAACGTGTAACTTGTTTGATTTCACAAGTTCACAGCTTGGAGAGCAATTTACCTCAGGATGGATTGTATCCTGAGTTTTACCCATGTCTGATTTAGCTATCTGGATGAGATTTGAACTTAGACTTTAGAGTTGTTGTTGGAATGAGTTAAGACTTCTAGGACTGTTGAGATGTATTTTACATGTGAGAAGGACATGAATTTGGGGAGAGGGGCAGGGGCAGAGTGTACGGACTGGATTTTTGTGTCCTTCTCCTCCCCAAATTCATATGTTGAAGTCCTAAGCCCACCGCCTACTCCCTTATAATGGTGCCTTTGGGAGGTGATTAAGTCATGAAGGTATAGCTCTTGTGAACAGAAAGAGACCCCCAGAGAGCTCTCTCACTTCTTCCCCACATGAGGGCACAGTGAGAAGTAGGGCATCTGTGAACTAGGAAGTAGACCCTGACCAGACACCAAATCTGTCAGCACCTTGGTCTTGGACTTCCCAGTCTCCAGAACTGTGGGAGATAAATGTTTGTTGTTTAAATCACTAGGTCTCCATATTTTGTTACAGCAGCCTGGACTAAGACATTGAATAAATGTTATTAAAAATATTTCAGAAGAAAAGAGAAACCAAAAGAAATCTTGCAAATATTGGTAGACTTTTTTTTTTAAGGGGGGTTATTTATGGTAAAAAGAAAATGGTCAGGGTGAGAAAAATATATTTACTGATAATGTATAGTGTAATACTCTATGAATGGCTGTTGAAGAAATGCAGTAGAAGAGAAGATAACTCAAAAAGGAGAAAGTAGAGAATATGGAAAGGTGAAG